AAGAAATAATTGTTTCGATGTAACGTATATCGTGCGTTTTTAATATCCTCTTTTTTACGGATTAAACTAATCGATAATTGATCGATCATGTTTCGTGTTAATCGAGAAATTTATCAAGAAACGTTTAAATTTATTTACAACCGTCACAATGATATGTACAGGCACAACTCGTCACTTAACAGATTCTTTAATATACCCACTAATATTAATTAATTCTAAACTTATATATAATATATATCGATCATCGCAGTTTGTATTAGGTATGCAAACGAGTCTCTTTTCCCTCTTTTTTTCAAATTCAAGATTTTATTACGTATAAACCACGTATAAGATTACCCGATTGTTTCCGCCAATTCTTCTCTGGGTCGAATTTTCGTCGAGCGATTCCACGAGCGACTCACGGTCGTCCAACTTTCTCGATGCGAACGTCCGAACGATCGTTGTTTTCCAAATTAAAATTTCAAGCTTTGAATCTTTGCTACGACTTTTTTCAGTAAGATTTCCGGAACGCAAAAAGTAAACACGCTTCTCACGCGCCATATTGAAATCGTTGGACTGGAAACTTTTACAGCGCTCCTCGCGACTTTTCTTAAAAACGAAAGAACGCTGTTTCAGATGGCAGCACAAACGGTAAAGTGATCGTATTCGGTGAGAAGTTACGATCGTTACGAAGAAAAGGGAAAGGAACTTATTCGCACGCCCATAGCGATAGAAAAACTATAATTCGAATATTCAAAGATTATCTTCATTCGTCGAATCGCGTCAGGATAATCGTCCTTCCAAGACAAGGAAGGTGAAATATTTTTGAAACTATTTACGGTATGTCTAGCTCGTTTGTATACGTACAATTAGTCTACAGATATCGTTACGTTAGAATTCTCTGGATCTTCGATGCAGAACGCTCGTCGCGACTCTTCTTAAAAAACGAAGAACGCTGTTTCGGATAGCGCCACGAGCGATAAAGTGATTCGAATTCGGTCGAAAGAATTATTCGAACATCTGATATTTGTATCGTAATTCGGCGGCTCCGGAGTTATCGGCGCGATCGAACGCCGCTAAGTGGTTTTGATCGGAGCTCGCTGCTGTCCGATCCTCGAATAATAATCCGTCGAAACGTTTATCAACAAAATTCAGTCGCCGACCGAATCGCTATACCATCGCGCGTCGATGGGGATCGAGAGGTAACTCGCGGGTGATAAACCGTCGCGGTTTGGCAACTCTTTGTAACAGAACTAATAATAGCGATGCCCGGCCCCGCTTGACAAGATCCGACGCGCGTTAAACGTCGCATCGTCGACCAATAATATCGCGATACGTGCACGTGTAACATTCGCGCACGATGTAATCATGGTAAACGATGCAACATTTATACCGGCAATTAACTTCCAATTAGTTCGATACGCGCCCCTCCCCAATGTGATGTCTATTCATGGTCGACAATGGTCTATATTTTTTCTCCCGCCAGCGGCACGATTTCAATTCCTTTTCGATTCCTTTTATTCGAACGATCTCGCGAAGGATTCGAAAAGATTTAACCACTCGACCCGACTCTCTCGCTCGTCGATGAAAATTTCGAGAAGGTGGAAAAGTCGCTCGGTGTTCTCGCATCGATGAAAATGTACGGAGCGGTTCTCTAACGAGGTAAATCGGTGAAAGGACTCTCTCTAGCGCTCCTCCTGGCGAGTGGCGCGTATATAGAGAGAATTTCGCCTCGAAACACGACGAATTTCGACGATGTTACGTATATCGGTCCGGTTGCGCGCTTATCCAGTATACCGTGCGTGAGGAGGCAACCGGGTCGCGGATTATTTTTCCTTCTTTTCGACCTCCATCTTCGTCCTCTCCGCTTTTTCCATTCTTTCCTTTCCTCCCTTCTTTTTATTTCTTCGCCCGAAAATATATATTCCACAAATATAATTTTTTTCATTAAATCACGCTCGAGATTTTCGACTTTTCAAGTCCAGTCCAGAATAGAGAAGAGTATCGAATCGATTTAAAAAAATTATATCTCCATTTCAACACTTGCCCGGCGGTGCTCTATTTGCCGGAAAATTTGCCTCGCTCTGCTTAAAGGGAAATCTCTCTCTCTCTCTCTCTCTCTCTCTCGTGGAGGAACGAGCCTCGGTCCAATTCCCATTGGTGTAGCGGTGGTTGGTATTGGGGCAAAAGCGACCGGGTAAATATCTTGCAGTGACGGTAAACGGAATTGAATAAACATTTTTCAGCAAATAGAACCGACAATGGTACGAATTTAAAAGTCGCTGAGACGAGCACAGGTGGTTGGTAGGTAGCGCCCGGCCGAGAAATTGCATTTCGCTTCCCCCCCCCCCCCCTCCTCCCTCTCTCTTCTCCTTACCTCGCCATTCCTTCGTCGCGTGATCGTCTCACAATCCTCCCTCGAAACTCGGTTGTAAACGTAGCCGATCGCAGCACAGTCGAGTAGTCAAACACCGATACTTTTTAAAAATGAATGGAAAGATTCGTTCGATATTTAAATCATCGGTCGCCGAGAATCCGAAATTGCGAAAATGTGGGACGTTTATTAACCGAGAGAGTTAGTCGCGGAAAGGAAAATTTTTAAACGAATTTTTAATAATAAAATTCCGTTGTGGTCGACGGCGAAAGAGAGAAAGGTAACGAAAAACCTTGGAAGATGCGAGGAGAGGAGGAATGGAAAGAACGAAGGTATCGATCGATGTGGGGACGGGAGGGAGAGACGTGCGAGGGAGCCTCGTAAACGGGCTGCGAGGGAAGAAAAGGTGAAGGAAATCGAAGCGATCCGTGCGTCGATCCGATTTACGATCGCTGGTCTGGTTGGTAGCGGTAGTTTGTTCCAAAAAGAGGGGATCGTTTCTTTGTTGGCGAAAGGCAAGATGGAGGAGGGTGGATCGGTGGACGGGCGATAAATTAGCATCGAGTTAGTATCCGGAAGAAGTATTCGAATTCATCGTGGTTCTTTTTCACGCTCGAGGAAGGGAAACGCGTTGCTCGTCCTATGTTTGTGCGGATCGAGCGTGCCAATCCAATTGGCCGTCCACTTTTCCTGTTCGAAGTTTTTATAGATGACCACCGACCAAGTTAAAAATTAAACTTATAAATATCTCTATTTTGTGATCGTACAGGTTTTATTGTGTTATTCAATTTTATTCAAGGATTAATTGCCCGACTCTTCGATCGATATTATTCCTCACGACGCATTTGCTGTTATTTCAACATCTATTCATCTTGATACATCATCCATTAATTATCGATTTATCGTTAGATATTAAACGATTAAAAAGTCAATTTGTCGTAAATTTATAAATATCATCTCTATTTTATAGGTTTTGTTAACAGGCCTAATTGCCCGACTCTTCGATCGATATTATTCCTCACGACGCATTTGCTGTTATTTCAACATCTATTCATCTTGATATATCGTCCATTAATTGTCGGTTTAACATTTTTTCCCCGACATTTTTCCATCGACGTTATTCTCGGGATTATCCTGATTCCATTAAATGGAATATTATAATAAATTCAATCGATCGTAGATTCAGAATGGTTATATAAATACATTTTAGACACATTGTTCGTTAATTAGAGAAACGAAAAAGTATAGCTCGAGAATAGTCGTTTTTCGGTGGAGGAAGGGAAAAACGTTTTTCAATTTTCGATTAGAGTTATATACGTATCTGTCGCATACGTATCCCCCGCATAAAGTAGGAAATCTCGCGTGGAATTTAAATATCGGATATCCGAGTCGTGCGCGGATCCTCGAATATCCACGCGTGAATTCGAGGGCTTTAAACCGGTTGATCTTGCCTATGCATTTATGGATGTCGAGAAATCACGTACTCTATACATATACACACACAGACTGTTTCCACTTCAAAAACGAATCGATTTTTCCTTCCCGATTCACGCCTTCCCTCCACGGCTGTCCGATTTGACGGCCGTGCATCACGCAGGATGATCGTCGATTACGCTCCAACCACACGAATTCCAAAGAACTTCTCCGCGATTTCCCAAAGGGCCTTCCTCGATAATTCAACGTCCCTCGTCGCCGTCTTCTCTCCATTGCGGCCGTTCCATTTCTCCTCCTTCTTCGATACGCTTCCTTTCTCTTCTTTTTTTTCAGAATAAAGAACTCGACCCGTCTCAAGACGATTGAAATGTGACGCGATAGAAAAAATCCTACTCTCTTTCTGTTCGCAGATTATGCTCGAAGGAAGGAGGAAGTGGTGGCGATTCGAACACCTTCCGTCCAGGGATGAAAACACGGATGGAGGAGCGGGGAGGAGCACGAAGGCATAAGCGAATCGCGTTTAAGCGGCTTTTCGCCCCGAGTTGTCGTTCCGCGACGCGTTGATACGAGGGAAACGAACGATGAAAGACGGTGGATGGATCGAGTGTACACGAGGCCGCGCATACACGGGGAGGAGACTCCTTGCTCCGGAAATCTTGTTTGTCGGGATGAACGAGGCTTGAACTTGCCTTTCTTTTTCTCGTCCGCCCACCTCTTCCTTTCGAGGCGAGGCAAGAAAGAAGGAGAGAGAGAGAGAAGAATGGAGGAACGAGAAACTCGGTTTACGAGGTAGCTTCTCACCAACAGGAAGAAGAGGAAGAAAAGTTTTTAAGCGACGCTTAAGCGGAGACTCGAAATTCTGTATCTTCTTTCCCAAGGGCCTGGAAAGGGGAAAAGAATCTCTGGAAAACTTATTGGGAGAAGGACGATGGTCGAGTTATGCACCGATCCTTTAATAAGATCGTAAATACCCGTTCTCGCGCACCTATCCCCCCAAAAACGAGGCAAGCTTATCCTCCCCCCACGTTCCATCGGGAGTGAAAAATGACGGGCATATCCCTTCTAACGATATAAGTAAAAATTGGAGAGAGAAGTGAAAAGCGCGCGATGCGGGGTGCGGAGGATCGGCAGCGGGGAGGAGGATCGAGGATCGGGGGGGGACGGTGAAGGGGACAAATGCGAGAGGAGGAGCGTTGTATCGAGGAGTGGTGATCGAAGAGGATGGAGAAGGAGGGGGCGAGGGGGCATTACAGGGCGTACGAGGGGTTGAAGGCGAACAACAACGGGAACACGTCGTCGTTGAAGAGGTGCGAGCGCGGGAGGACGACGACGACGCATCCGTCGAGGCAGGTGAGGTGCCTGTGCTTCGGCGGGGTGCCCGACAAGGCGAGCCACCACTCGTTTCTCAAGGGCTGCGTGATAAACCTCGGCATATGCGCCCTCCTCGTCGCCTACACCCTGCTCGGCAGCTTCATCTTCCTGGCCATCGAGGGAGGCGGGGCCGAGCAGCAGAGGAGCACCACGTCGCTCGTCGCCACGATGCCCGCCACGGCGAGCGGCAGGCGGAACGCCACGGCTTGGTTGAAGCAGGTGAGAAGATCGATCTCTCTCTCATTTCCCATTTTTCATCGTCGTTGCGTTTTTACCATTCGCCTAGTTTCAATATTTGTCGCGCGTAACGATCGAGCGGACGCTTTTTTCCACCGATATTTGACGGATTAAAACGAAATGAATCTCATTCGAAGAGATTGGAACTTTTTTTTAAAAACTTTTTTACAAAATACAGTTGGTTTCGATGCGAATATTTTTTTTTTAATACTCGAGCAAAAATAATAAATCCGAAGAATGGTTATCAATCGTTATCGAAATCCGTGGAAAATTTACCTCCTCGAAGGTATGAAATTTTTTAAATTATCGTCTCGAATCATCGTATTTCGGATGCTTTGACCGAGAACGGCGAATCTTGGATTCATCTTGGAATTCAATTTCTCTCCTCGACGGAAATGACAAAATTTTCCTTTTCTCTCGTCGAAGATTGAACGAGCGCGTTTGTTATTCAAGGTTGGCCACGAGGCACGGGCGAAGACGGTGGAGAATATATGGATAATCACGGAGAGTTTGAATATCCTTTACCGGGAGAATTGGACGAGGTTGGCCGCCCAGGAGATCGCGCGTTTCCAGGATCAGTTGGTGAAAAGGATCACCGAGGACATGATCGCGACCCAAAACGGGGGGACGTACGTGGCCAGCTCGGATCCCGTCACGGAACGACGGCTCCCGGAATACGAGTGGAACTTCGCCAAAGCGTTCTTGTACTCTCTCACCGTGTTGACCACGATCGGTGAGTGTTCGAACCGGCCAACCTCTTACTAATCGATTTACAAACGATTTAGAATTTTTATTCTGACTCAAACGATTTTCACGATTTCGTCTCGATTTCGTTAATGGAACGCGACAAAATTTTATTGGAAAATTTTTTATCTATCCATCAGTATTTTGCTTCTTCAAATTAATGGAAACGAATCGGAGAGTTTTGTCCCATCTCTAGTGGTGGCCCCCAAGGATTTTTTATCTCTCGTCCCAAGTTAATGGAAGAATTTGGAATGATTTATATGATGCGCACGTAAATTCATTTTATTGGATTATTTTTATTCGTCCATCTCTAGCGTGGCTCTTGCCTTAAGTTAATGGAACCAAGATTTCGATTTGCCTCGAATAAAATTTTATCCGATTATTTTCATCTCTCTGGTGTGGCTTAAATTTTCCCAAACTCGTTTTCATTCAATGGAACACGACGTCACTTACGTCCAAGGGGCTATTTTTATTTATCCATTTCTAGTGATTTTAATTCTTGTCTTAATTAATGGAACACGACGTCACTTACGTCCAAAGGGCTATTTT